TGGCAGGAGATGATCAAAACCAAACCCTAAGGTGCTACCAAGACTTACAGGTTGCCTTACAAGAGGCTGGACTTCAAATAGCCCCTGATAAAGTACAGCTTACTGATCCATATACTTACTTGGGTTTTCAATTATGTGGCACTCAAATACTCTCTGTAAGGCCCCAACTGAGGCTTGATGGCCTCAGAACACTTCATGACTTCCAAAAACTATTGGGAGATATTAATTGGCTCATACCATTTTTAAAACTAACTAAACATGATTTACAGCCCCTTTATGCACTGCTTCGGGGAGACATAGATCCAACTTCCCCCCGAGAGCTTACACCTGATGCCAGGAGAGCGCTCAGTAAAGTACAAGAGGCTATTGCTCAACAAACTGTTTCCTTTATGGACTACAATGAGCCTTTACAGTTTCTCATTTTTAATACAAAGCTTTGCCCTACAGCAGTGTTCTGACAACAAGCTCCCCTCATGTGGGTCCATTTACCAGTCTCTCCAAAAACAACACTTTTGCCTTATTTCCAAGCTGTCTCAGACCTAATAATCCAGGGTAGAAAGCAGGGAAAATGTTACTTTGGCAAAGAACCAGACATTATCATTCAACCTTTTACAAAAGACCAAATAGATTGGCTACTTCAGAGTACTGAAGTGTGGCCTATTGCCTTAGCTTCCTATTCAGGGACTATTGACAATCATTACCCTCCAAATAAGCTAGTTGACTTTGCTAATCGTCACTCATTTATATTCCCTAAAGTCACAGCTTCACAACCCCTTCCGGGTGCCCTGGTTTTATTCACTGATGGCTCATCCTCTGGAAGAGCTGCTTATGTATCTCAAGACAAATGTTTCTACCCTCCAGGCAGATACTTCCTTTGCACAATTAGCAGAGTTAAAAGCTATTCTTGCAGCTTTTGCTGCTTACTCTGACCAACCATTTAATTTGTATACTGACAGTGCTTACCTTGCTCAGTCTGTTCCATTATTAGAGACTGTTGCTATTATATGTCATGCTTCCCCAGCTGCAAATCTGTTCAAACAATTACAATGCTTCATACGGCTTCGCCGTCATAAGTTCTTTATCGGTCATCTGCGAGCTCATTCCAACCTCCCAGGGCCTCTTGCCCAAGAAAATCATTTGGCTGATGTTGCTATACGAGCACAAGTTTTTATGGCTCAGGACTCCAAGGTGTCTGAGGCCCAACAAGCCCACCAGCTACATCACCTCAATGCTCACACCCTCCGCCTTCTCTACAAAATTACCCGTGAGCAAGCCAGACAAATTGTAAAAAATTGCCCATCTTGTGCTATCCACTCACCTGTTCAACACCTAGGAGTCAACCCTAGAGGTTTAATTCCTAATGCCTTATGGCAAATGGATGTTACCCATTTCAATGAGTTTGGCAATCTAAAATATGTACATGTCATTATTGACACATATAGTAGCTTCAGTTTTGCCACTCTCCAGACTGGAGAAGCTGCTAGACACATTATAGCCCATATGCTGTCAGCCTTCTCAGTTCTGGGATGTCCTCAACAGCTCAAGACCGATAATGGCCCTGGCTATACCAGCACCTCCTTCGCTCAATTTTGCAAGAGCCTTAATATCCTCCACACTACAGGTATACCTTATAATCCTCAGGGACAAGGCATTGTTGAACGTGCGCATCGTTCCCTTAAATTCACCATAGATAAAATAAAAAGGGAGACATGGTGCCCCACCCAGGGGTCCCCTAGAAATGTCCTTTCACATGCTCTTTTTATTTTAAATTTTCTGACCCTGGATGCTTCAGGCTGCTCCACAGCATCTCGGTTTTGGCATACTCAGACTCAAACACGGTTTGCATCTGTTTTATGGAGAGACCCACTAACCAATGTGTAGAATGGCCCTGATCCAGTCCTTATCTGGGGACGAGGTTCAGTGTGTGTTTACTCTCAACAAGATAGAGAAGCTAGATGGCTACCTGAACGCCTCGTAAAGCAAGTAGACAGTTCTTCAAAGACCCCATGTAACGCCCAGGAATAATGTTATTTCCTGAGGCACAATCCCCTGTGTTCTCTTACAGGTGACACATCTCCCTAGAGCCTTATGCTGCTTAACCAGCCTTCTTGAGCCACACCACACCCATGGTGGATTTTGACCCCTGCCAAACAGACTACAACTGCTGACAGCCATGCACAAAACCCCATGACTGTGGAAGAGGCTCTTCTCGGTCTGGAGGAGCATACGCCAGCCAAATAGACTGCATCCAGTGTTATACAAGGCATGCTCCAAGACACAGGAGAATGACTTCATACAGAGACACCAACAAATGACTGTCAACCCCTTCTCCTTGATTTTGGGGGGGGGGAGTTTTTCCCTTACCTAGTCCCACTTTTGGGTCCCCTAGCTGACCTATTGTTTCTCATTTCTGTGAGTCTTGTATTTTTCAGAGGATTATGATGTTCATTAATAACCAGATAGACGCATTTATGGCAAAGCCCATTCAGATACACTACCATCAGCTGGAGATGACAGATCAACAAACCTACAGGGAAAAAATTCCCACGAGTGGCCCATATGATGATGCGGCCTGACTGCCCTGGGGCAATGGACAGGCAGTCAGAGACGGGCAACTAAGACATACATGTTAATTCCAACGGCCACCTAAGACAGGCACAGGACCAACTGCTGTTCTGCAAGCCCATGACGGGTAAGGCCTGGTTGGGTTCATGCAATGAGGTCCTTGACCTAAGACAGACGCTGTCCTCACAGGGCCTGCCATACTCTTAATTAAATAATATAAAAAGGGAGGAGATGTAGGGAGCCGAGTGACAGGCATTGCTGCCTAGATGTCTCTCTCTCTCCTATGGGCACTGCGTCTGCCTACATTAACCATAATCCTCTTCTGCTTACGTCACTTATCCGGATGTGATGGTAACCCTGTTGTATTCATCTGTTTAACCTCTTCCTGTCCCAGCTCCCGCCCTTAGCCTATAAAAGGTGTGATTATTTTCTCAATAAACCAGAGGCTTGATTGGGTTAACATCAACTTGCCTTCGTCTCTTTTTGTCTCCCCCATGTCTTTTATTTAATCCCCGTTTCTCCTCCAGGAGTTCCAAACTTGTTGATCTGCAGGCCGGATCATCTCCTGAAGAATTAGGCACGCTGGCTTTCTGATACGAACCCGGCTGTTCTCATCACTGGAGGAGTTTGGGACCTTGTCGCTGAGGATGGCTGCAGTACGTTTCCAGAGAGCCCTGGTCCTTACCTTGAGTGTCACTTGTTCGCTCCAGCAGAGAACCCTCAGCCTTCTGTTACAGATCCTTTATCCCGCTGGTACAGACTTTCTAGCTTCCACCACTGACCTTTGGACCTTCGCAAAGTAGATCCCCAAAACAGACTTGCATGAGATAGTGTCGTGGGCTCCTGGCCTCCAGCTGGACTCCGGGGAGGCATGTTACAGGCTCCAGGTCTTCAGCCTAACTCATGCAGGACACTGTCACAAGATCCAGGCCCTCAGCTAGATACTTTGGGTCTCAGTGTGTGGATGGATTTCCTACACTCTTCCTTTTGTATCTGATTCTTTGGGTGACAATTCTAAAATAACACTATAAATTACGTGCCGGTATTGCTTTGTTCTCCTTGCAATCCCTGACTGTAATGGTGCCCTTAACTGACCACCACTCAGTGTCATTTTTCTGCCTCTAACAGCCCTCTTCTTCTCTCTGTGACCACGCAGTCAAGTTGGCTGACCCTCTGACGGTGTAATTTCACAAGCCTTTAGTTTCCTAACTGCCTCTGCTGAAAGTAAATCATGAAAGACGAGAAGGCAGGAAGCAGAAGAAATTAAGTAAAACAACAGACAGGAATAATCTGCTGGCCTGTGGAGAATCAAATGCTGAGAAAAAGAGGCTGCACGAGTGAAGACAGCCTCGAGTTACCCCTGAAGCTCAGTTTACAAATGAAGAGGCTTAGGTTTAAGGTTCCGTTCAATCTGCTGCCGAAGTGTGAAAGCCAGATCACCTGGCCGCCGTGCTACCCCACAGGCCGTGGGCCCTGCTGCCCGCCTCTCCAGCCGGCCCCGCCTCTGCTTAGGTCACACGGGGCTTTCCTTACCGGTTCCCTGTGACACTGCCCACTGCCATGCACTCTGGTAGGAAGCAGAATGTGTGGTCAGAGTGTGCATGGGCAAGCAAATGGTAAGTAACAAGCACCTTTCTTTAAACTATATAGTAATTTACTGAGTATTTAAATACTCTGGGTATTATCCATGGCAAAGTGACAATCTGAAATGTAGAAACTGAAATATTTTTACCTGAAGTGTGAGCATATCTAAACACAAGGCCTGGTAACAGCCCAACTAGGGCTGTCTACTGGCTTTAAAAATCTCCTTAGGTAAAAATCAGGATGTAGTCTGAGGCATGCAAGACACAGTCAGCCAGATTTCAGAAAGCAGGAGTTTACATAATGGTTTTCAACTGACATGGAAAGTGATTTAATCTCATTATCTCTTAGTTTTCAGTTGATTTGAATTAGTAGCCATTCCATTAATTAATCTAAATAATACAACACAGACATGTCCAATCTGTGGCCTGCCATTTTTTGGCCCTCATTTTTTTTGAATGAAGAATTATCTTGAGCCACATATACAATGCATAATGTACATAAACAACAAGCCTATCATTGTAAAAATATTTTTTATTATAACATTTAAATAAACAGGAGCCAAAAAAAGGAAGAAAACAAGGTAGGCTACAGGTTGGACAGGCTTGACAGGGAACCAGTGGGCTCCTTACAAGAAAGGTTACCGAGGGCAACCTTCCCAACTCGTAGCATTAGATTCAAACAGGCAGTTAGACAGCAGAAAGGTATTTAAGCAAGCAGAAAGGAAAAAGGTTTTATTGTATATGTTATTTCAAACCAAGATATTCGGATAAAAGCAAAGAATAGTAGTGTAAAAAAAAAAAAAGAAAATAGTATAGTAACTCAAACAAAGGAGCTAGATATTAGAAAATAACCTTAAGTAAGAGGAAGAGGTTGTTGAGACAGCTTAGCAGAGACAAAAGGCACTGAAGAACAGAGTCATCCATATTCCCACACTGAAAGATAAGGCAGATAAAAAGCCAGTTAAACTGTGCACAGATTTAAAAAAAAAAAAAGAGGGAGGATAATCTTGGCTGGTTTGTTTGACTATCAATGACTAGTTACTTTCTTTCTTTAAAAAATTTTTTTAGGTTAGATGCTTAGGTAACACCTCAATTTCCCCCTCTTTAACTGAAGCAACCATATTGCCCTTTCTTTATTAAGGTATTTACTCTAGAGTTACTGTTAGTGTTATTCTAAATTAGCAAGACAAAAACCAGCTCTCTTGTAGAAATGCTATATTAACAACCTAAGCGCTAAAAGCTTTCTGCCCAGCTTTCTGCCCAGTTGGCAAAGGAATGGGACTATTCCCAAAGCTAAGTTACGTACAATTTCTCTTATTTTTAGTTTTTATTATCTCCTTATACAGATAAAGGTACAAAGAACAATAACCACACAGCATGCTTTGAACATCTAATCTACCACTGTGGCAAACAATGAATCATGAACTCAATTTTTTATAAAAAGTTAATGGTACCAGATTCTGCTTTGGATTTTATTGACTGCTGCATTATTTCATAGAAGTTAATTAAATTATATCATAACAAAGGAACAAAAGAGTTTCAGTGTGAGAACTTCTACCACCAGAACTATTTAAAAACTGCCATGTTTTCCATTTTAGACTGCTACCTACAATCCCGTTAGCTGACATCAGTGCTACACACTGACAAAGGCAACTGTTTCTGAAATGCCCTACAAACAGCACAGTCATCAAAAACTGGAACCTGTGGTAAATGATATGTTTAGTAATGTGACAGGATTTTTATAATATCTTAGAAATCATTAAAAAAATCTTAAAAATGCAGGTATAGTTGAACTTATGAAAATGTAGTATGATAATAATAGCTTTATTATTGCTTCTATTAAGTAAGGGAGATAAGAAGCAGCCACCAAAAATCAGTACACCAGAAGATCCATACCTTCAGCTGATTGTTAAACGAATCCATTTCTGACAGCTTAGATGCAGTTTCTTTTTCAAGAGCATCTAACTGTTCTTTAAGTCTTTGGCATAATTCTTCCTTTTCTACTGATTTCTTCTGAAGTAAACTGATCCCTGAATCTGAAACACAAACATCAAACAATTTATATTTGACAGATGTTCACTCAGTCTCATTGTTCTATTTTTCTATTTTTGAGCAATACACATTACTTCAGGTATGATAATTTCGCATCTTCTGTTCTGATTTCTGATAAAGCAAATTTCTCCAAATATTTTTTCTTTTTTTTTTTTTCTGTACGAGAATCAAACTCAGGACCTCACGCTTGCCAGGCAGATGCTGGCTAAATCCCCAGCCAGCATCCAATATTTTGTTTTGCAAGTCTTGCCCAATGTTACACATTTTCTCTTCTAGATGAATTTGTGAAATATCTTCCCAAGTTTCATTTAGAGAAACCTTAATAGAGCCGAATACACTGGATGAACTAGAAATCTGGCACAGATAGTATTACAGTGTGGTGTTGCTGGTTCACTCAGGAACATAAAACATCTCCATTCAGTATCTTTTAATCTCTATCACTGACGTTTTACACCTACGTGTTTCTTTTCTATTCACAGCAATCAACGTACACATTTTAACAGCAAATTTCACTCATATAAGCACTGTGTTAGCTAAGTGGGAGACAAAATAGACATCAATTTGAGTACCACTATTGTACTGTCTCAAAGAACTACGAAATCTCTCTGAACCTTGGTATTGCTAAGCTGTACAGGGGGGAACAATTACATTAAACCATATTACAACTTGTATCTTCCATAAAGATGAAACATAACTGCCTGAAAACTCTCTAGCATGGTGCTTGGCACATGGATGTTGGTGCTGAATAGCAACTTATGGAGAGGAGAACCAAGGGACACATGGTATGATTCAAATCTCAAAAGGTTCCTCTTGAGTCATATTGTTGCTATACAAATAAGCAATAACAACTGACTGGAGTACATCTCACAAAGATACAGGAGAGTTCTACCAAATTCCCAGGAAGACACAGTCAACATTTCAGACACCAACAGTGGTGACGGTCTGCTTCCGCCACTGCACAGACCAGGACTGGCCATCCTCTCTCTGGAACGCCTGTGGAAGGATGAGTGAGGGGGCTAATCCACTTTGAAAGAACAGATACGAGGAACACTGAGAAGGGACACAGACAGACCCCTCAGGGAATGGCAGGAGACACACTATGAGGCGTTCCCAAGAGGGAACCTCTTCATTCGCCATTTCTTCCGTGCGCGAGGCCCCTCACTAGCACAACATTCCCATCCTCTTTCTACCCTTTGACAACAAGCTGAAGACAAAGACCTGGCATGTGCTACCAGACTTCCTCCTCCCACCCACAGGAAATCTGGGCTCTGCTTTGTAGGTGCAGCTGTACACCATGCCGTCCGATTTGAGTTAGTACTTTGGTTTGCCACCTGTCTTGCTTCTTTGTCTTATTTTTAAATCAGTTTCATACTCGGCCAAAAAGGATACTTTATTGGATCTCCTAAGCAGCCACAAGTATACAAAAAGACCCTTAGAACGGAAAGACTGGCAGATACTGAAGGATGACATTTAGCATCCGTTAGCCAGTTCTAACACATTTGCAGATTTTTCTTTAAACCTTCTTTCCTGATATACTGTTATCATTATACTGACAGTTGTTTTTTTTTAAAGTTACTTGATTGGAATCTGAGCCACAAAAAACGTTCTATTCCACAAATCATGTTGGAATATTTTGTTCCAGATGTGTCAGAGGGCCTAGCTTTAAGTTCTTTGCGTGAGTCAGAGTTAGATGATACGTAGGGCTAGGAAGGGCACATCATTTGTTTGGTCCTAGCACTGCTGTGTGTATCACCTTGGAACCCGGCACCTGGTCCACAGGAAAGTCTCCTGAACATGGCAAAATGCACAAGTACTTCGTGTTAGAGCCAAACTTAGATCTTGTTTAAAGTAGTATAATATTTTATTTGACTGATATTTGATAAAGTATATGATTATTATTTATGTTCTATCATCTGTGACATTTTTCATGCCGTTTTGCAATTTTTAAATTATAGCCCCAAAAGTTATTTATAAAAGAATGTTTTTAGAATATGATTGATACAGTCATTCAGAAAAGAATAGATGAGAGAAAACAAACCTTAGACTTACCAGGTGTGTTATTTAGCTGCATGTTTTTAATTCTTTCATTCAATAACTGCTTCTCAGGTACCAAATAAATAAGCTTATTTTGATATTCCTTATAGAAAGAAAAATAGTAGCTGGTTAAAACTAACGTCAAAGAATTTTCTGGAAAATTTTAAAACATTGTTTAACATGCTCCCGTTGGCCTGCACCACCGGGTGGCACACACACAACCATCACGCTGGGCAGCTTGTACCACTGGTGGTACAAATGGAGCTAATCGCTTTTATCAGTTTTCTTGCTAATACAATTCATGAAAAGCTGCCCAATAGGACACCACACATGTACCACCAATGGTTCCAGCACCCTGGCACCAAGACAAACTACAACCCCACTGCAAACCTGTTAATCATATTTATTTGTTTAATTTTGAGACAGTTTCACTTTGTAGTTCAGGCTGGCCTGAGTTCACACCAGTCTTCCTGCCTCAGCCTCCTGAACGCTGGGATTACAGGTGATGTTAATCATTTTTGAAGCTTAGTAGAGAAATAACTGGTAATTATAAAATGCTTCTAACTCATGAATAACCTAAAAGGGAAGTATGCAGGACTTAAAAAATCAAATGTGGCTGAAACTAGAAGGCAGTGAAGACAGCTTCTGAGTAGGCTATGTCTAGAGGCTCATCGTTTTCAGTGTTCTTGTGGACACAGTGGGCAAAGGCAAAGCGATGTCCCTAGTGACTGTGCATGTGGTGAGCGGGCCACGGCCCTCGGGAAGCCTGTGCATCAAAGAGGGAGCAAACCCTCACAACTGCAACTGGCCACGAAATGTTTTTGGTGTTTGTCTACGTGTGCTGTGACAAGGGGAAAAACCAGCAGTCTATGCAGTGAAGAAGCTGGGTAAGAGGAGTCTAGAGATGCAACACGCTTCTAAAGGCCTTATTCTGAGAACAATAACTAGGCCACACTCTAATGGCAAGAGCAGAATCACCAGGTCTCTGCAGGCCATATTCAACTTCTCAACACAATTCTGGGAGTAACGAGCTCAAAATTTCTAGAATTCACAATAACTTTACTTTGATACATGCTATGTTCCAAACGCTGATGTCCACCCAACAGTCATGTTGCTACTTGTCCCCAGTATATGTATAAAGAGGCAGAGCTTTAGGAGGCGATTAAATCATGAGGGTTCCTCCCTGACGAATGGGATCAGGGACCTGCTTCTTCTACCCTGAGCAGGTGCAAGCAGCAGCAGCCATCTCTGAAGCAGAGAGCAAGCCCTTACCCAATCTGCTTGGTACCCTGATCTTCAAATCTCTGAGCTTCAAAACTGTACACAATGAATGTTTGTTGTTTATAAATTACACAGTCTGAGGTAGGCTGTGACAGTCAAAAGAATGAACTAACACATATAAATACATTTTTAGGGTTTGATAAATGTTCATTTACAGATAAATACCAAGCAGAATTTAACATGATATCTAGCAGCGCTTTAGAAGGCCTATGAACTTTCTGATATTATATACAAGGTTGGGTGCATTTGGTCACAGGTCTTCAGAACCAGAGGACTTCACGGTCCCTGAAGGGCAGCTACCCTATCTGGAAGAACTCGAAACACTGCACGTTTCAGGACAACCAGCGGTAAAGGACTCACCTGAAGTTCTTGCTGAAGTTGCTTGATTTCCATAATTTCCAGGTCACACTGCTTATCTAGAACTTCTAGCTCAGTCTTTTGTGTTTGCTTCCTGAGTCGGACATCTTGCAGCCTGCCTGAGATCTGCTGGTGCTTGCCATTCTGTGGACATACCATATACATTATGGTTATATAAAGTTTAACAGAAAATGTTCCTACCAGGAGAAAAATAATTTTATTTAAATATTAGTTATAATTTACATTCAGTCTGGAGTGTCTAAAACCATATCAAATATGTTTTAAAGTTATGCCTCTTAAGAGAGTTATTAGCAGCAAAGAGGACATGCTGAGAGTGGAAAAGCCCACACCGTACGTACAATGGGAAAGCGTAAGTACAAAATAGTGACTGGCTTTTTTCTCCAGGCTTAACCTCAAAAAAAAAAAATAAGGGGGCAAAAATGTTTGCATGTGACATTTGGTGTTACTCTCTGTGAATGTCCACTTCCACTGTGACTTCCTTTCTCTTCAGGTCTTCCTGGTACATTTTAGAGATACACAATAATCACATTCATCATAGAGAATTTGCACCTGTACCTGATATAACTTGTTTTTTTTTTCCATTCCTCTACCCTCCCCTCAACCCCCTCTCCCAGCCCATTTACAAAAGTTTTGTTTTTATGTTTTCTCAATGTTACTTTCTAATTTCCTATCATTAAACAGTTTCCTGGTGGGCCTTTTCAGCAATAATTTCCTTCTATCCTAAGGCTTCATTTCCTTATGCAAAGAGTACGCATTCCTCTCCTACTTTTCAGAAGAAAGGGTTACAAACACAAGCAGACATTCTCACTGGGGCCTAAGAAGGGGGAAGTGGGCTGAATTGTGTTCCCCTCGCAAAAAAACTGATGTTGAAGAGCTCGGCACCTCAGAATGTGACCAAAATTGGAGAAGACAGCTTTAAAGAGATAATTAGGGTTAAACCAGTTACACAGGTGAACCCTAGTACAATCTGACTAGATTCCCAAAAAGAACAGAAAGTCTAGACACAAAAGACACCAAAGATGCACGTGTACCAGGAAAAGCCCGTATGAAGACACAGGAACACGGCTGCCACCAGCAAGCCGCGGAGGGGCCTCAGGAGAAGACGCAGGAACCCCCACCTCGTCTCTGAGGCAGTGGAAAGGAGACCGCTGTGGTTCAAATCAGCCAGCCCTCCTGCGGTGTTTAGTTAGGGTAACCTCAGCAAACTATTCAGCACCGTGAGGAGAGTGAAAGCCTGCTTAATAATCACTGATGCTCAAATTTTACTGAACACTGTGTTTCACATTTGAAAAACACTCTAAAAGAAAATATGCTGTGTTAGTCCTAGAGCTCACGCCATCATCTTCAACACAGATGAGTCCAGTCCTAGACTTCTCTGGACTGCTCATTAACTGTTACTGGGCTTGGTGTGTTGCCCTAGTTCTTAAGAACAAATAATCAATGTTAAGAGTCTCTTCCAATTATGTTTTTAAGGAAAAAACACAGTCAAGATAATGGTTCAGGCAGATACTCAAGTAGCACAAAGAAGTTAAAGGTTTAGGCCTCTTCTGTACTATTATGACATAAATAATAATTATGGTGTGTATGCCTACCTACTTGCAGACTTTTCTAACTAAAGATACTGAGATAATTTAAAAAGTTTTATAATGTAATTACAGTTGAACAAACAAAATGTTCCACCACACTTAAATAAGATCTAAGTTTAAAATGGGTGTCATAGCACTGTCTGTAATTGCAGCACTCAGTAGGCTGAGGCAGGACAGTGGCCATGAGTTTGAGGCTGAGGCAGGAGGGTGGCCTAGGCTGTATGAGGAGTTCAAGGTAGCCTGCACTACAGAGCAAGATCCTGTCTCCAAAATAAAACAAAACAAAAGTCTAAATTTGGCTCTGCCACATAGCTAGGCGTGCATATTTGCAAAATTCTATTCTACTGTTAGGTCAGGTTAGCGTTGCAGGATTCTAAGACTGCAGCAGAACAGTTCTAGACCTTTTTTATCTTCTCACCTTGCATTTCAAACAAAGTCTAATGAGCAAAAACCGGTGAAGTATAGTTGTTACTGGACCCTTGGGTTCATATGCTCAGGTGTATCTGCTGGATACTGACCGAGTCAAAAGAGGACATTTGTTTTAGTTAACAAAAGAACTTATACAAGACAGTGAAGGGGCCAATTTGCCTCAAATCGTCTTCTCACTCTGTGCAGTTCCATAGCACAGAGGGCCCGGGAGGGAAGACAAGGAGACAAGGGACAGTCAGGCTTTTCCGCCCCTTTCTGGACCTCTCCCTGCCTTGCCTAAGGAATGAAGTGGGGCTCCACCTCCTGGAGCCAGCACCGCATCCTGTGCATTGGCCTAAGCTGGGGACAGGTGGGAGCAGATGCTGATGCTGCAGGTCCAGGAAGTCTTAGAAGCTACCTGTCTCTAAGGAGAAGAATCTAACCCTCACACTCCCACTCTGAGGCTCTGGTTACATAGCACCTGATATGAGCTACACCTCAGTCCCATGGAACTGAAAGGAACTGTAAGAACCCATTTAGCTGAGCAGCTTTAAATTCTTTTCCTTTTTAATGGGAGGATCCTTTTCTAAATCCAAGCAAACTTTAGACTAAATCTCAACAAAACTAAAGCAGATAAATGTGCAGCCATCTGTTGTGAAGTGTCCTCTGCAGACTATCCTCAAGAGACTGCTCTGAAAATCAAGTATCACTGAAGTAGCACTTTCTTCATTTTATAGTAACCCAGTAGTGCACGGGGCCCTCCAGCATGTGGAGAGAGACAGCCACACAGCTCTCAGCACTCCAGTGTCCTGGCCTCTTCAGGAACCTTTACTGCACACCTAAGGCCCCGTGTGGGGCGCACACCTGTAATTCCAGCACTCGGGAGGCCAAGGCAGCTAATTACAGCAAAACATTATTTATGAGATCAATTTTTAAAATAATAGCATTTTCCCGCATTAATCAGATAAATTTCACTTAAATTTTGGCCATACCAGTGCTTCCAACTCCAGGTGAAGACTCTTCTTCTTAGAGTTTAACCTGACAATTTCTTCTTGCTCTCGATTTTTCTGATTGAGAAGCTCCTGCCGACGAATTCTCTCCCATTCTAAACGACGCTGTCGTTCAAGTTCCTGTTTTGCTGCCTAAAAATAATGAATGATAGTTAATTCTAAGTTAAAAATTATCCAAAACCTACAGGGATGACGGTGTTTGACACTCAGTGGGCCTCAGTGCTAGAAGGTAGGTGGGCAGCTTTTGCTTCATCGATGGGTCTGAAGACTTGCAGGAACATGGCTTTACATGTCACTTTTGATTGCTTCACAGGACTATCGTTTTGTTATATTTTTCTTTCTCTAGGCAAAAAGATGGGCTCATAAATACAAATGTTCAGAGTAAGTCACACCTCTATTCTGGTACCAGGGGAGAAAGAATTTCTATTTACACTTTTTCAGGGCACTATGACTTACTGGGCTCTACTCCCGGCCCTTTAAAACACAACCGGTCCTCTTTAGGGACCCACATAACGCTGTGCCCTGAGGGCTTGCACAAGGCCACCCTCTTGATTCCCCTGTAGTCTTCAGCCGTCTACTCTCATCTTTCTGCCCTTTCAATCCCTTAGTCTCCTCCTCTGAATCTGGAACTTACTCAGCCTGCCTCTTCACTGGCCAGCTAACCTGCCCCTCTCTGCCTCAGTCAGCTCAGCTGTGTACTGGGTCGTCCTCTGAGTGAGGTACCACCGACAGTGCAGATGCCCGCTGCCACTGAGCGGCCCTGAAACGCTCTAGTGCAGGACCTGCTCCTCCTCCTCCTCAAGGAAAGGCAGACTCAGATTCACAAGTGCAGAATGAAACGATGCGAGGAAGAAGTACAGCACAAATTCAAACATCAGGACGTTTTAATTAAGCTGAAATGTAGGCATTCATTAGATGAGTGACGCTCGTAGGAAATAAGAATGACCTCTCGGCGCTCCAGCTCCTTTCTCCGCTCCTCCTCGCGCTGCCGCTCCAGCTCCCTCTGCTTCTCCAAGCGCTTCTCCAGCTCCAGCTGCTTCTTCCACTCCTGCTCCTGCAGCTCTCTCTGCCTGCGCTCCCACTCCTCCTTCTCCTTCTGGGCTTTCCGCTCCGCCTCCCTCTGCTGCTGCTCCATCAAGGCTTGGCGCCGCTTCTCCAGCTCCGCGTTCCCCCGCTCGTAGTTGGCTTTCCGCTTGTCCTCAAAGGTCACTGCAGAGGGACACGGTGAGGGTTTCACACGGCGGGGACTGGGAAACCTGCCTACCAGCGCGACCGGCCTGCGGCCACCTGAGCACTCTCACTCTGGCTGCTTCTCTAGGGATAATCTTTTACTTTTTTAAAACTTTTTATGGGTACCGGGGATCGAACTCACGACCGCCTGCTTGCAAGGCAGGTGCTTATGCCGCTGAGCTAAACCCCCAGCCCCGGATAATCTTAACTCAAATGTAAACAGGAAACTATTTACTTTTTCTAAAAATATTCATTTAAAAAAACTATTTTGAATGATTCAAGAGAGAAGTAACTTTACTGTCCTTGTCAATAAAAGTCCTGTTTAAACCTTTTCTTAGTTGGCTATATATTTGTCCTGTTGGAGACATGCCATTCACTTTTAAATATTTTAAAATACTTTAAATATTTTTTAAAAACTCACTAGAAACATACAACATAGATACACAGATACCTGGTAATTTCTTCTGAGGTTCCTCTTCTTGTGTCTTTTGATATGAAGGCTGAGTTCCATTAATTGAATCAGTTTGCTTTCCTCCTCTAAGAAAAGCAAAAAGCAAATTCAGCATTACGCAGTCTGGGAATTTTCAGACTACACAGTATGCACTATCTAAGATTTAAGCCTTAATTCAAATTACGGGGTAGTTTTAACTGCTATTCTTGGGCAAGTTTCTCTTAGTCTCTTTATCTATAATATGGTAAAAACATACCTACACTGAGCACTAAAACTAAATGTCAAAGAAAATATTTAACTGTCCTCTAAAATACAGAGTATAGGTCCTACTAAATCCCGAAGTAAAATCGTACTGCCAAGCGCTGCCAAGCACAGCGCTGTCCCTGCAGGTGCGCTCACCTGAAGGAGGGCGGGACGAGCTCAGGGGGCAGAGTGAGTGGCAGCGGCTGCCCTGCTCTGGCCATGTCGGTGAGGTGCATGGCAAGGATGAACTCCTCGGCTTTCAGCTGTCCATCCCCGTCGATGTCCGCCAGGGTCCTGTGGGAAGCCACAATTTAGAAAGTCCAAATGAAGTAAATACTCTAAAGAATTTAATTTTTAATTTTTAGAATAATAACAATGGTAAAACTGCAGGTTAGTGAATTTTAGTGCAATGTAAATATATACAGAAAACTGGCGGCTCCGGGAGAACATGGCGGACAGACAACAGCAACTACTGAAGGCTCTCTGAAAGGCTCGGCTCAGAGGCCAGGAATGATGCGGACTAAGGAGACACGAACCAGTAGAGATATGCTCTGCTGACTCAGGAACGAACTGGGCTGAGAGAATCCAACTTAGGATACAGTCCTGGCGCTAAAATAGGAACAGAAAAGACTCGGTGTAGAGGCTCGACCCCGCGCCATTGGAAACCGCAATTTGGGTTTCCCGCCCGCCCGGCGGCTGGCTGCCTCCACAGCGGCTCGGCAAGGAGAGACGCGCCGAGCTCTGGGAACGGGAGTCTGCGAACGGAGTCGGAAACAGGACGGACAAGGAGGCGTACACGAAAACTGACTGGTGGCGAGGTGAGAGAGAAACTACCCCCTACCACAGTTTGACTCCAGCAGAGGTTTTTCTGGGCTCAGGCAGACCTGTAAGAGCAGGGCGCGGTGGCAACTCCAGCCACACATTCCCCTCTCGGACGGGATTAGTAAAAGTGCCTGGCCTGAGTGACGCTGCTGGCGGACTCCCTAGGCTGGCCTAACCCAGATCCCAGAGCCTGACGGTGGCCCAGAGGAGCGACTGACTCCCGCGTAGGCTGCCTCCTCCGCAACTCCCTGGGGCGCAGCGGTGGGCGGGAACAACTAGCCAGCGCAATTTGATCAGGCTGTGGCTGACAGGCAGGGAAGCCGGGCCTCCCATGTAAGCTTGCATTTTATAAGGAATAGAAAATATGGGGAAGGGAAGCAACAAAAAAGGCTCCTCGGCCCCCAATCCTGAGAATCAGGCAATAGTGGACACCGCACCAATATACATTAAGCGCCATATAGAGAGCCTCATAGACCAATTCAGGAATGAAGTTATCAATGACCTGAAGCTAGAAGTATGCAGAATAGTTAGAGAAATGCTAAGCACCACCCAGGAAAAAGCAGATGGTGGAACGGAAGAACAGAAAAAGAGGGGAGAATTGCTTGATGGAGAAAACAGAGAAAGCATTGAGTATGTGAAGCAGGTTCAAAGGGACTATCAAGAAATTAAGAAGTCTATCCAAGACTGGCATAACAGCTTGAAAGAAACTAAGGACAGACTATCTGAACTGGAGGGCAGACTTGAAACATGGGAGAATGAAATGAAAAACTTCTTAAAAATAACAAAGAAACAAACAGCAATAATACAAAGACAAGAAGATGATAAGAGGAGCCATAACTTAAGGATTAAGAACATAAAAGAAGAAGTAGGGACACAAACAAGTGAACTACAAAAGCTACTCACAGAAATAATCCAGGAGAATTTTCCTAATTTAGCAAAAGGTAAAGATACTCAGATGTATGAGGCATACAGGACCCCAGCTACCTACAACCCTAACAGAGAAACACCCAGGCATATAATAATAAAAATTCCAGAAATTCAATACAAGAACAGAATATTAAAAGCTGTAAGAGACAAGAAACAGATCACTTACAAGGGAACACCCATCAGAATTACAGCAGATTTCTCTTCACAAACCATCAAATCACGAAGAGCATGGGGAGAAATAATTCAAGCTTTGAAAGATAATAATCTCCAGCCAAGATTGAGATATCCTGCACAACTGTCCCTGGAAATTGATGGGAAAACGAGGTGCTTCCAGGATAAAGAGGAACTGGGGGAATTTGCAACCACCAATTCAACCCTACAAAAAGTATTGCAGGATATTCTAAAAAAAGAAAAATACAAAGAACCCAGAAATAGTGGCGGGGAGGCCACAACGAATGGAGCAGAGAACAAAATGAAGAAGACAAACTGACAGCTACTGACAGAAAAAGAGCTCAACAGAAATGAGACAGAGAAGATTGGATGATAGGAACAGCTTTTTTTGGAGAAAATGACATCTTAATAGGTAATGCTGATTTAGTACCATCTTGTTTTGAAGTCTCATCTAGCTTTTGTTCTTCTGTCTCCAATGGTCTAAACAGGTTGTATCTTATTGGATTTTGTTATGTACGATAGTATAAGCAAAAACCTTTTAAAGACAAGGAGATTATACAGAGACCATTGTTCATTTTCTGTTAGTCGATTCTAAATACTCTATAATGCTGTCATTCTCTTAAATGGTTTTACATTGTTTTGATATACTTAATGCTACAGTATATGAAGTTGTACTCAAGGACTTCAGGGAGGGAGTCAATATGGCAACTATTTTTGGGTCAGGATTATCTGGTGGTGAAACACTATTCTGCTTAAATGGTTATGTTTTGATCTGCCCTGTTTCGCTGTTATGCCCTCTTTTTTCTCAATCTCCACTCCATTATTTACTTTTTTATTTTTATCCATTTAATTAAAGGGAAAAATATAGCAGGATATAATATAGTAACCCACTTTGACTCTCTATTATCTCGATTTGAAGCCCTGTATTACTCTCACCATCTTGTTTTTGACTGAGGTTCCTCTATTCTGTTTTGCTGGATAGTATCAGGTTCGAAAGTTTAGGCATCAGCTGAGAAGATAATGAGATTCATTATAATGCCCATTCTCGTTGACTTTTATCTACTTTTGAAGACCTACAATATCTCCAATGTTTTGGTTTTGTTCAATTGTATTACAACTAATGATATAGGCAATTCTATTAGAAATAGCGGGAGGCATTATGGTAACCATTGTTGATCACCTTGTATTATGTTTTTATATTATCTATTATGTCCACCCTTTTGACTTGACCGATTCTGTTCTGTTATGTCACATTTGGTTTTACCCTCTTCCAAAAAAGCAATACGAACCGTGGGAGCAATGAAACCCAAAATGTGTAATAGTCACAGTACAAAAGAGAGGAAAAGAAAGTGCTCTAAACTATATAACTGCATGTATATTTAAATGTATAAGATAGAAAATGATATCACAGAGTTTTATTGGATCATTGAACAGAACTGTTTGCAGTATCACTGTTGGAATGTCCACTCTACAAGCTTTAATTTTGTGACTGGAACAATTATTTCTAAGATGGCAATATGTAATCCATTAACTAGTGATTTCCTACTGCGCATTTTTTTCTTCTGTAAATCTGTATAACTTGTACCCCTTCACTGTTTTTTTTTCTTTCTTTTCTTTTCTCCTTAAATAAAAATTAAAAAAAAAATATACAGAAAACTAAGTTAACTTTTACCCTTAATTTTCATAACAAAGAGGTAAGAAACTCTGAAATATAATGAGATACATCCACTCTGAGAAGGTGGCCTGTCTTAGTTGATGTTCAACTTACCTATCAAATCACAGTTCTGTATATTAAAAATGAGATATTCTGATTCTCCATAGATATTATTACATACAAATTACAGTTTTAACTTGTAAAATAGTTAAATATTAAATTCTCAAGAACAATGCTTTATACAATTTTGCTTTCAAAGTAATATGAACTTTCAAATGCTATTTGTGACTCAACATCTTTAGAGTCAAAACTTTTGCAGAAATAATTATTTTTCTTCATCCCCCCCCCCCCAAAACAGTATCTTTCTTATAGTAGAGGGTTTAGGTTAAAAATCACATTAATGCCAAACTTACCAGATAGTAGCTAGCTGAGTTTGAGAAAGATTTGACTGAAGAAGGGCATTTCTGGCTTGAAAACCTGTTTGAAGTGGGAAAACCAGAAGGAAAAAATTCTTTACCTCTTTAAAGTCACACCAACCTAAATAGCTCCTTTTTACATCATTCACTAGTAGTAAACACAGTCCTGTTCCGAGGAGGTTAAAATCTACCACTAGTGAGAGCGGACGGCGGCACAGGCGTGCATGACGGCAAGCCCGAGCCACCAGGCAGAGACGCGGTGCTTCTTACCCTTCAGCACAACTTGAAGTGTGTTTGCCTTTACTCTCCCTAAATGATCAGAAAATGCTGTTGTTCCTGTAAGCACTCGTCCAGGCATTCCTCTCTCCTGTGTATTCATAACCATTTTTATGGCTTTAAACAAGGCTAGAGCCTGATGGTCACCAAACATACCCACAGCCAAACATCTCCTCTAAGTTTACAATTGTACATCTAACTGCAAACCTTTTAGTATGTCCCACAGGATTAATTCAAACATGCAAAAATTCTCTGTTTCCATCTCCATTTCTCTTCTAGGGTTTTACTCCTCACCGTTTTCCTGGGGTCTTCCCTGCGCTATGAATAGCACTACTGTGCACCACTCAAGCCAGAACTCTGAACGTCCGCTGACCCCTCTGTCTCCTCTGTGCCTACATCCAGCATCAAGTCTTACACTTCCGTCATTATGCGTCTGGATTCCCACCCCTGCAAGCCTCAGTATTTCTCAGAAGAGACTCTGAACACCCTATCATCCAGTGCCTTTCCTGTTCCTTTCCTAACTTCTATCACTGCTGGTAATATAATTTTTACTTGCTTGATTGCCTCTTTACTGTCTGTCTCCTCTGTCATGCTGGCAAGTTCTAAGGAGGTAAAAACCTGGCTGCTTCATTCACTAAGGCACACCCAGCACCCGGCAAATGAATACTTGTAAGTACTTGCTAAAATAATAATGAAGCTGGAATCTAACATTTTCCCCTATTTAATTAAGCTGTCTATAATGGAGATTTGTGACAGTACCCGACAATAGTAACTAGTAAGAACAATGTGTAGTGAATGGTTCACTTTTTTCCCTCTCTCAGTAATCAAATTTATTTTTATAACAGATTTCCTGATGAATGTTGTATCAGGCAGGAAAAAGAAAGCCCCAAAATGTATTTCAGGACAAAAAATCACTGTCTGCCTCAGAGGAGCATCCACTGCTGGTCAGCTAGTCTGCAGCTGCTCGACCATGGGTGAGCTGACGCCACCTGAGACAGTGAGACACAGGAAGGGACAGTGTCCTTGTCAGTGAAGCAGGTGCGTCCCTTCCTCCTCTTGGTCACTGAGCCATGAACTCCAGAAGAGTCGGCCCCTGCTCTGCTTCAGTGAAGGCCTATCTATCCGACACACCTAGACACATGATACCGTCTGTACACCCCTCCTCAGCAGCAGCTCCTACATGAAGCCAGCACAAATGCAACTCACCCCACTGTTTCACTAAGTTTTGAATACAGAGGACTTCCTAACTAAAGCTACCATGTGTATAACATGCAGTTAAACATTTATATCATTTTTAAATAGCACTCTTTATTTGCTCATTTATTAGAATCTGATAGGAAAAAACACTGGAAATAGCTTTACAGTTTCAACCAACTCGTTTTGGATTTCAGAGGAAGTGTAAAATGAGAAGTCTGAGTTAAAATGATTCTTTTAATAAAGAGAAACAGGTCAGATATGGTGGCATGCACTTACAATTTCAGCTACTCAGGAAGCTGAAGCAATAAGAATTTTAAAGTTTGAGGCTAGTCTAGGTAACTTAGTGAGACACTGTCTCAAAATAAATAAAAAAGGGAAAGGATGTAGCTCAGTGGAAGAGCACCCACAGACAGTCAATCCCCAGTACTCAAAAAACAAAACTCTTGTTACGGCTTGGGTCTAATGTCCCCCTCCAGCCTCATGCACTCACAGGTGAGGCTTCCAGGAGGGACTGGATCTTGCGTTTGTGATGCTGGATTAGGGTGTAATAACTGCACTAGTCCAGCAACTGGTTTAGCATGGTTCTGAGTGTAGCTGACTGGATTTCCTGAGAACAGATCCCTACACTGGATGTGAGTGGCGTCAACTGAAAGGCCTGTAGCCTGCATGAGATAAAAGGAAAGGGACCCACCTACTGCTGCTTTCTGTCTGCCCTGCCACAGACTGTTTCTCCTCTAACACTCTGCCTGCCTTCAAACCAGCCAACTACTGACCGAAGCCTCTACAAACTGTGAACTAAAATAGACCTTCCTTCTTAGCTTGTGGGTCTCAGGGATTTTGTTCCAGCAATGAGGAAGTAACTAACACACTTTAGCATTAGGTAATAGAGAAAATAGAATAAATAAGGAATATAAATGGTTAAAAGCATACTGTTAGAGGACTGCTAGAGGACTGTATGGATACAAACAAGTTCTGATTCTGTCTGTCCAAATCCTGACCTCCTTCAGGATGAAGGATAAATGCTCCCTTCCTGTGTTTTATTTGATCCCTTCAGTATTAATTTCTCCCATCCTATGATCCCTGAACTGTTTTTTTTTAGGATTGAACTCACAACTACCTGCTTGCAAGGCAGGCGCTTATGCCGCTGAGCTAAATCCCCAGCCCCACCCTGAACTGTTTTTTTTTGAGACAAGTCTCACTATGTAGCTCAGGTTGGTCTTGAACTCACTATGTAGTCCAGGCTGGCCTTAACTTGTGGCGATCCTCTTGCCTCAGCCTCCCAAGTGTGGGATTACAGGCATGTGCCACCATGCCTGGCTTACCTGACACTTTAAAGATCTATTCTTTTTAAGCAATTATTTTACTATGTTCTACAACTTTGTGCATATTTATGATACAAAATAATTACATTTGTTTTGGAGAGTTAGTATATACTATATATTTACACTACTATATCTTGATCACTTTTGATTCCTCCCTTCTTTAGGTCCCTTTTCTCATCTTCAGAAAGTCTGCCTCTTTGTTTCCTACCATCTCTCCTTTATTTCACTTTTTATACTCTCAAGATCCACCCGTTTCCTACAAAGACTCCAAGTTATCCTTCTTTACGGCTACTACTCCATTCCTACATACACCACCTTCTCTTCAGCCATTCATCTGTTAGTGGACATACATCTAGGCTGCTTCCATAGTTCAGCTACTGTGAAATGTGCTGTTATAAACATGGATTGCATGTATCCCTGTAATGTAAGACTTTAACTCTTTCAGGAAGTTATCTAGAAGAGGTAGATAGCTGGGCCAAATGGAACTTCTACTTTGAGTTTTTTGAGGAATCTCCATACCAACTTCCATAGTGGTTATTATTAGTTTACATTTCTACTAAAAGTGTACAAGTGGTTTGTTTTTCCCCACATCCTTGCTAGCATTTCTTGTTTCTGAGTCTCTGGTGACAGCCATTCTTACTGGAATAAGATGGAATATCACTGTTGTTTTGATCTGCATTTTCCCAATGGCCAACACTGATAAGCACTTTTTCTTTTTTTTTTTTTTTTGTCTTTTTCCTTTTTATTGGTACCGGGGATCGAACTCACGACTGCCTGCTTGTAAGGCAGGCACTTATGCCGCTGAGCTAAATCCCCAGTCCCGATAAGCACTTTTTCATGTGGTCATTTGTATTTCTTTTGAGAAGTGTCTTATTAATTTCAATCACCCATTTTTTTGACTGGGACTCTTGTTTTTGGGGTCTAATTTTTTTGAGTTCTTTATATAGTCTAGACATTATCAGTACTCTATCACAGAAGCAACTGGCAAAAGGTTTTTTACCTTCTACAGGTTGTCCCTTTGCTCAACTGTTTCCTTTGATGAGTGGAAGCTTGTCAATTTGATACAAACCCATTTGTTGTTTCTTGGGAATTATTTCTTATGCAAGTGGGGCTCTGTCCAGAAAGCCCTTGCCTATGACTACGCACACTTCTTGCTGAGTGAAGAAAGTGGACAAGCTAGACAAGCTAGCAGGTGGGGCTCTGCTTGCCTATTACGCTCTGTGTGCCCCCTTCTCTGTCCTTAGGGATAAGGTTTGAATAATGGTCTAGCCTAGACTCAAATGCTATACAAGAATCTGTGTCAAGTTTCACAGAAACATTTGTGTTAGACCATTAAACGATGAGCAAAGCTCACCTATGGTTTTAGTAAAAACAATTAGAGAAAAGGCCTAACACAGAACAGGATTCTCAGGCAAAGCAAGTCGAGACCAAGTTCCACACATTTCCCTTCATGACTTGGGGTTCTCCATTCAATGCAAAGCTTAGAGAATGGGTTTGATTTTCTTGGGAGATAAGTCTTCTTCCAAATCCTTGGGGTGTATACCTGTGTGTTCAACTTGACTGTAAGTACTTTAAAGAAAGCAATCAAATCGACTTTCTCTTTAAATTTTTACACTACTCGTAATATATGTATTTATCAAATGTTTTCTAAATTCTGGGGATATTATAACTTCAGACGAACTACAAATATAAATTAAAATAAGTTTTTCAAAAGAAATATGCATAAAAAAAAAAAGACTTTAAGTCTCCCGTCCTCTTAAACACTGTGTGCCACTTACCTGAGAGGTATCCACTCATGCTTTTGTCAAGACTATTAAATTTTTGCCGATATTTTAATCTTGAGGGCTGAGGAACTGCCCACTCTGAGGTGCCAGTCTTGGGCGAGTTCCCTGAGAGTGAAGCAGTTGAGGAAGTTGAGCTATAACAAAATTTAAATTTTTATGTTACCAAATAAAACACATTAAACTTTATATGACAGACTAAGAATCACATCTTACATAATACAATAATAACTGCCTGTGCATTTGAATTTTTTAAAACTCCAATTTAAGTGATTATAATTCTTGGTAAAGCAAATACCATATGAAGCATAAGAGTCCATGGGACTACTGTGTATCACAAAGCCAGGCTTCATCCTGTGCTAGGGTCTTTACAAACATCTCAACAACCTTAGAGGGTCTTATGGTCTCCATCTTCTATAGATGAATAAACCATGGGGCAGCGATCTTCAAAAGAAATTTAAAAATCAGTAGTATTTACACTACATATGAATGTAGTACCTCTTTGTCAAAAACAACTTTATACATTTCTCTGAACACATAACAGTGATTTATATGACAGATGATAAAAAATGCTTTTAGGCTTTCTAAAATTTAAGATATCTAATCAGAGGAATTTACATAGGAACGATATTAACCCTGTACAATGATCATGAAACACTGAAAAATGTATACTTTTTAAAAGTGAAAGTATATTGTTTGGGGCTAAATGTTGACTAAATAAAAAATTTTTTTAAGTTTACATAAATGTTTTTTAGAGTATTAAATAACTCTAAAAACCTTGTTTGTTTTATGTAAGGTATGCATAGATAACTTTTTTTTTTTTTTTTTTTTTTAGTTTTTTGAGATAGGATCCTGTTATGTGGGCCAAGCTGGCCTTGAACTCACTATGTAACCCAGGATGGCCTGGAACTCACAGTGATCCTCCTGCCTCAGCCTCTCAAGTGCTGGGATTACAGGCATGTACCACCACACCCACCAGTTTATTTTAAGTATTTATATTCAGCCATTAGAAAGTAAAACCTAGATAAACTCAGAGCTTATTAAATACTGACTCCTGGCTGAAGTATTAAAAAGTCAATGTTAAGTATTCATACCTACTGGATCCTAAATCAATCAAAGACTGCGCCTTCTGTATGCTAGCACCACCAAATCCTCCCATCACCAGACCGAAGGATGATGTATGAGGCAATGCTACAAAGAAAGAAAGAAAAAGGCTCACAAGAAGGAAATCTGTATCTATCTGAACACAGACATACCAGTATCTTTCTTCCCGTGAAATACTGACTCGTTACACACTTACTTGAAGAAGAGTAAGGAATGGACAAAGGCTGAATGAGACTGGCGGTTCCATTTGGTAGTGACGACGTACTAACAGAAGGCACTAGGGGAGCTTGCATTATTAGGGGAGGAAGACTGGTCCCTGAAGTTGCAGAGGACAAGGGTGCTGTTATGGGTGCGACTGGAGGCAGTGACTGAGGAATGGACAGATTGGGCATGCTTCCCATCCCTAAAGAAAAAAAGAGAGCATATTTTCTATTGCTAGTAAATCAACTTAAGACACATGACAAAAATCTAGTTTACAGTACAACAGGCAGCCCCTATGTTTATAGAAACCACAAGCAACTTGTCCTTAGACACTCACTAAAGCAGCTTTAAATAGGAGATAAGGGAGATAAACTACTATATTTACTATTAATATTCTGACCTGTGAGAACTAAGGAAATGTCTAGTAATCATCTAAAGATTCTTTTTGTTCTTTCACTGTGACTAAACCTAAAAAGCCCTTTCCAATTAAATATCTGTAACCTCAAAGAATGTTTTACCTGATCACATACAGTTTTTTGTGTAAGGAAGACAAATACAGTGGTGCTAAATTACCTAACATGCACACACAATCCTCAAGCAAACAAAAAAAGTCCTAACCAGTAGACACTTCAGGAATCCATTTATGCATACATGTGCATTATTTGCAAGAAAGTATGGCATGTATTTCACTTTTCTTGTAAGTAATGTACCTATGAATTTGAGGGAGATTCTCTATAAAGAGCAAAGTGATGATGCTTGTTTACTATCTGCAGACACAAAGTATGATATATAAATATGGTCACACTCTGGCATCTATCTCTAGAGCTCAATGCCATAGTGAAAGAATTAAGGTCTTATATCTAAACCTTAAGATCTAACATTCAGAGTGAAAGAATATGCTTCTCACACATCAGAGACACCTAATGGAATGTTCTATTCAATATGATAGCTTTTCACATAGCTAACTGGTTATTTAGAAACATATTTAAAGGTTGTCTCTGATAAATATGTAAATTACTTAGCACAAAGTCTATGACTTTTGGCTATAAATTTAGCTGTTAAGCTGGAAAGATTTCTATTTACATATAATTTTGAATTAACTATTGACCAGTTTCAATCAAGTTTAAAATTGTTCATTTTTCTGTTTTAATTGGTTAAGTGACACACAATTGTACATACACAAGAGGTACAAAATGATGTTTCTGTACATGTATACACTGGGTGATCGAATCAGAGTATCTGGTAGATCCTCAAGCACTGATCATTTCTTGTTTCTAAAAACATTCAAAGTCCTTTCTTCTGGTTATTTTCAGATATGTAATACAACATTGTTGATTACAGTCACCCTATTGTGCAACAGAACAACAGAATTTATTTCTTCTCTGTAACTGTGTACCCACTAACCACTTCCCCCTCCCCTCCCCTCCAATTTCTGATAAACATTATCCTACATTCTATCTCTGGGAGATTACAGAGGAAGTTAATTAAGAATAATACTTTGCATCATCTAGAGGTGGAGTATTATTTATCATCACCCTGTGAGTTGCAAAAGGTGATCCTGCCCAGACCAGATGCCAGGACAAAAGCATAAACCAGAACTGTTCCAGAAAATTGGAACACACGTGTACCCCAGCTATGACAGTGAATTTAATAATTCTCATCTGAGCTTGGGGACTACTGTTTTATGCTAACAAAGCCATTTCTGGTCCCCAAGTACTAAGTCTAACAATCAAGATGAACTATTAAATATAAGTTATTAATAAATGCATACCAAAACGAGCAGAAATTAATGGAGAGAACATAGGGGGTTGTTTCATAATAGGAGGGAGAACCACAGGCAACTGCTGGCCTTGAAGCTTTAGTTTGATGAGTTTCATAGCTATAGAGAACTCCTGCTGATCCATCTTCCCATCCTTATTCAGGTCTGATAAGGCCCTAAAAAGACCACAGAGTGAAGGTGGTGAGGCAGAGAAATCCGTATTACTATTAACGTTTAAGAAACAAGAACACCCTAAGTATTGTATTCATATGTATTTAAGTATGAATAACAAAAAGATAAAACCAGTACAATAAGAAATTTTGGGCAGAGTGTACCTAATAAAACACTGCCTGTCTATAAAGACATCTGTGATGAATTTACCAGTGTAAACAGATGTTGCTCAAGAATATTGTAATTCTAGATTTAATTTATTCATTTATTCAAGTACATACTGAGTGTACGCTATGTGCCTGTAATTCTTTTATACATAGGAATATTCCAAAAGAAAAGAAAGATGGGGTACAGGTAGCTATTTATTGTAAGGACATTAAGAAAACACACCCCAGGGGCCAGGGATTGAACTCCGTGACACAAGCACCTGCCTGGCAGGCACAAGGTCTTGAGTTCAATATCCAGTCTTCTCCCTAAAAACCCCCCAAAAACCCCATCATGTCCCAGATATTCTAGTGAGTAAATGTAGAAGCAGGGCTCGTGTGAGGCTTACAATTGACAAAATTAATGAAATCACTATAAATTATAAAAAGATTTTGAGATTCTGTCCAATTATAAAGAAATACTTATAAATATTTAAACATTTTAATAATATATATTTTTTCTTAGAAATTCTAATGAAAACAGAAATCTGTCCTACAGAACTTGTTATTTTTAATCATCTGCTAAATGAAATTTATTTTCCAAAAAGCTAGAGAAATAGTCCTAATAAGAGAGTACAATAAAAATAATTTTTTGTTGACACTGTATTATTTTAAAAAACAGTCCGTCAGAAATTTGTTACATTTATAAAAGAAAACATTTTACCAAATTTCAGCTAAAACAGGAGCTGGCAGTCCTGATTGTAAGAAAAAAGTACGTGCTTGATCACCTAAAGACAATAAAAACAAACACCAAGCAATACATTAGTAAATGAAAATATTCCAACGCCTGATTGATTATAATGGGCACAGTGTTACTATTTTATTATGCTTTTAATTCTATTCAGTAAAGAATAAATGAAATAGAAATACACATGAAATTGTTTACATTCTTTTAATCAGGCTTAGATATTTTAGAACATGACTTACAACTGGTCATGTTATTAATGAAGTGATAGAACATTATATTATTTCCCAATAATTTTCCACGACTGGGGGCCTTACTTATAATATTCCCACTTAATAAAATCTACAGGACTGCGAATGCTATTCCGCAGCACAGAGCACTTGCTCAGCGTACGTCGGCCCTGGATTTAGTCCCCAGTACCACACATAGACTATACATACATATATGTATCTTCACCCTCCACATAAATACAATTGCCTAGAACACTTCTCCATAGGCAGTGCCCAGTGTCGAACACACAGTCCTTCACGGGCTTCCTCCTTATTCCTCTGTGTCCTGCTGTAGAGGCCAAGAATGCAGAACCCTAATTTCCCTCTGCCTGGTAATTTCTCAAAATCGGGTTTGTAAGTGAACGGTGGGGTAGTATTTCTCAGAAGGACAAAGAACAAATTCACTTTACTGCTTACTACAAAATGGAAGGTTCCCCAAGCCCAGTTCCTCTCCTGTAACACAACTGTATCATGTGTGGCAATCTTTCTGAGCGCTCTGCAATCTCCCAGGGAGCAAAGCAAGGTGACAGAAATGTGCCCGTGCCATTTAATAAGTCCTTGTTCTCTGACTCAGGAACCTTGAGTCTTCTGCCAGTGTCCATGAACAACAAGAGGCTGTTAGTCAAATCTTGATAACACGTACATCAGGCTACACTGTACTGGATGGATTCCAAGTCAGGCTGAGAGATTTCAAAGCCCAACTTAATCTAATTATCTGTATAACCTTAGGCAAGTTCCGTAATCTCTCTAAAGTCTCAGTTTTACCTTCTGTAAATCTAGCAAGACTATCAACCTCTCAGGACTGTAATAAAGATAAAATGAGACAACATCACACATACAGTGGAAACTTGATAAGCAGAATAGTTTTTTTTTTGCTATGGGGATTGAACGCACGACCTTACACTTGCCAGGCAGGTGCTTGTGCCACTGAGCTAAACCTCCAGCACTCACGTAGTTATGTTTTATTTTTGTGGTGAAACATTTATCCTTTTAGCATATTTCAAACTTGTAATGCAATCACTACCCTAAATGCAGTCACTGTATTGTACATTAGCTCCTCAGAACTTATAGCTGAGTTTGTATCTATTTTATGAAAAAATGGAACAAATTTTCACAACCAAATAATAAGAGAATAACAGCAGTTATTATACTGTGCATTGTTATCTTCAAAGGAATTACTCAGCACAAGACAAAACCCAAGAAGATTCTTACAAAAAAGGAATAGATAATATTTCCTTTTCAACAAACTAAGATAAACTACTAGCAAAAATGAAACGAATTAACATACATATGGAAATATTTTAAAACAACAGAATATGTAAGTTGGGAATGTGTTTGAACTTCTCCTTGCTGTGATCTCTTCTCTGTTGTCCTTGGTCTCTCTCTGGTTTATCAGGTAAGAGACCACGTGGTATCTGAACTTGTGTGTCTGACTTACAGTGTTCTTGGCACTTAACTATGTTCCTAGGTTGCATATTTACTTATGAATGCTTCAAGATTATCTTTCTTAATGGCTGCACAGTGCTCTATTATGTAAATACTGCCTTTTATCTATTCGTCTGCTGATTAATACTATGCTATTTCCAAGATCTAGCTTTATAAATGGTGCTGCTCTAAACAGGAGTATGTATGCATCCCTATAAAATCATGATTTTAACTCGTCTGGGAAGATATTGGCAAGGGTGTCAAAAGGAATTTCTGCTTTTACTTTTTTGAGTATTGTTATTATGATAACCACTATATATAAAGCACTAAGAAGCTTTGGCACACAAAAAAATTTCCTTTTAAGAAAAAACTTCGAGGGGCTGGGGATTTAGCTCAGTGGCATAAGCGCCTGCCTTGCAAGCAGGCAGTCATGAGTTCAATCCCCAGTACCGATAAAAAGGAAAAAGACAAAAAAAAAAAAAACTTTGAAAGACATACTTAAATTAATTCCTTTTTGGGTCTGGTAGGTTTTGTGTAAAACAGAAGCTAGCATCAACAATCAATTCTTGGCGTGGTCCAAAGGTAAGAGAGAGAGACCATGAAACAAACGGAGCGGGAAGAATCTAGATGGATCTGATATCCCTCCCCAAATACGAAAACTTCTAGATAGAATGCAGAACATGAATAAGATCATCAAACAGATTCCTGGCTATCATTTAGTATTCAAACAGAGATCTTCCATATATGCCAAACTCAAAACAACAAATTAAGAGAGTCTGAGGGAAAATAAACTAGTACAGTGCTTTTATTGTAGCTTAGTTAGATACAAGTTTTATCACTTAATACAAATTTGACAGTCGTTAAAACAAAGTTAATTGTAAGATTTATGAAAAGGAATATGTTAGTAAGATACAACAAACTGTAAGCACAAACCTGTTATGTAACCTCCCGAAGGCTTGAGGTGATCAAATTGTTTGTCATGCTTAGTTCGTTCTTCGGAGGTAATAGCCCACATGTTTGGCCCTCCTGAAACACACATGAAAGACAAATTATGCAAATTCTAAGTATCCATTTCATGACAGTATTTACTGTCTGAGGGCCACAGAGTATGGAACTCTTACCAACCCTGTATAGCACAACCTTAGGCTTTCACTCATTCCCCCAAAATTTACTAAATAATTACTATATAGCGCTCACTGAAATAAGCAAAACGCTGGAAATAAAAAGATGGATAACGCCTTACTTTCATTCTCAAGGAATTCATACCTAGAAAACGATCATTGCCATTTGCTAACCTGTGAAACATCTTTGAAGGCCGTGCCGATCCTAAGTTAGAAGCATCAGGAGGGAGCTAAGGGAAAAAAGGTCCTGAGGTGTGCTTGCATTTTGCCATGCAAAGAGGAGGCACAGGAGCACTTCCCCCAGCACAGCGTAAGAAGTCTGGGCAGGGTGAAGAGACTGCCAGCTGGAGTAACACCTGGATGTGAGTCCCTGTGAACTCGCTAGGGCCTCTTGAGTGTGCAAAAAAGGGCTCCACCAATGAGCAACATGCCTGTCCTCCACTTCAGACTACACCCTCCCAAGCGGTGTCACTTCCCCAGGAGGTCCCTGACACCTTCAGGTCACAGTAATTGACCAGGTCCAGGTTGTTAAGAGACTTTTTGAGTTTCTAAAGCACTTAAGATACCGTCCTTGTGTTCTGTCATCTGCTCCACCAGACCATGAGCCTTGGGGGGCAGGGCCCTGATGCATCTACCTTTCTATCCCTGGAATCAACTGAGTACTCAGCACTGAGCAAACACTTAAAAGATGACAGCTGAAAAGATGCCTGAGTAAAAGAGAAGAAAAAAAAAAACAAAACAAAACAGGGACTATAACAATCACTTAAAAACCTTTTTGCTGTCTACCCTTTGCATATGGCTACACCAGCTCTGTGAGGAAGTCCTCATAACACCCTACACTTTCAACACAGCTGACAGCCATTTACACTTTGACTCCCCCCCCATTTATTCAATTTCTACCAAAAAAAAAAAAAAAAAAAAAAAAGAACCAAATGTGTTTAGGGATAAAAACTCACACCTGTTTGGTGCCTATCTTGCATAAAAATCTACCTTACAAAAAAGCAATTTTCCAGGAGTATGTATTACTGAAAAGTAGAAACCCACTATAATTCTGAAAACTAAGATGGCTTTAACACCTTTTTCTTAGGCCTAAATAACTGGATTAAAAATCTACAAACATTTCCTCTTAAAGAGGAGATTTAAGAGTAGAATTAAAATCAAAGAGAGGCTGGGATTTAGCTCAGCGGCACACTGCCTGCCTGGCAAATGAGAGGTTGTGAGATCGAATCCCTGTACCAAAAAATAAAAATACAAAGATAAAGAGATGTACTGAAGAACTAAAGACCTAAAATAGCTAAACCCACAAACTTTCTAAATAAAGAAAAACGGTACCATGTATGTAGTAAAAATCTACCTGGTCTACCCATTTATTTGAAAATAAATAAACCTGTCAAGATTCCTGAGACTAGAAAGGCAAATAGTGAATCTACGGTCCTGATTTCCTACATATGACTTTAGAAAAATGATGATGGTTGATTATAAAAATGACAACCAAAAGGCTGATAAAGAGGGAAGTAGCTCACCTTACTGAGCCCTGACTGCATATTCAGTAACTCATTAACCCCAACCACTACCCTCTCAGTGATGGTTGATTGATTGTGTCAACTTCAGTAAGAGAAGCTCAACTAAACTGGCTCGGCAATACCCTGCTCTAGGGTGTGGAAGGCCCACCTAGGCGGCTTGCCACGAGGACGAGGACGGGTAAATGGAAATGAGGAAGGACGGATCAGCTTCTGCTCTCTGGAGAAGCTGGTCTAGGCCTCCAGCGCGGGTGGCATCTGCTGGCTTTCAGTGCGGATCCTTCGGCTTTCTAGAACAGGCTCTTTAGCCTTCCATCGCAGACCCAGCGGCCGCCTGCTGGAGACTCGTGTGGGATGCTCGGCTGGGTCCTCTGACCTCCAGCATGCAGACCCCTGTACTCTCCGTCATCTCAGTCTCCACTGTAGGCCCATCTTGTAAATTCTCAGATATACTTGTGAAGTGTGGACTGTGTCTGATTCTCTTGTAACCACCAACTGCCACACCCAGTTTACAGATGAGGAAACTAAAACCCACAGTGATAAAATAACTTGCTCAAGATCATACAAGAAGCGGTGGAACTAAGATTAGAACTCGGCAGCCTGACTCTGCTGAACTTCCTATGTGACACTATCTCCAACCTACAACGGGTAAAAAACTTACATTCTCTGTACTGATTGTCAACTTCATAAACAAGAAACATGTAATTTCAGAGTTGTAGCATAAATTACATTAAAATAACATTAAACACCATCTTTTATCTATCGATTGGCAAAAGAATGAGTTGACATTTCATGAAATTTATCCTGTCTTAGATATTTCTAAGACCTTTATATATTTTACTGTGATTAGTCTTACAAGAATCCTATGAAGTAACGATCATTATCACTGTTTTTCAGAGGAAACCAGAGGTACAGAGAAGTAAATAATTTGCACAAGGTAGTAAGTGTTGAAGGTGAGACTGAAATCTACTCAGGCTTAATTAAGTCTTAAACTATCTGCCTTGACAATAATGCAAAAGAAGTAGACTCACGTGATGGGTAAAAATAAATGGGACCACAAAATTAAACGTAATCTTAAACCATGAAACTTTTTAAAGAAAACAAAGGAAGCTGGGCCTAGGTACATGGCGGTAACCCCAGCACTTTGGAAGGCTGAGGCAGAAAGACTGTGAGTTTGAACCAGCCAGAACTACATAGTGCAACCCTGTTTTGAAAGGAAAAAGGGGCAGGAGATGACAATACCAAATACTGGCAAGGATGCTAAGCAAGTGAAGTATACTGCGGCAGGAAAGCAAAATGAGGGTCACTTCGGAAAGGATGTTGGTAATTTCTTATTAATTAAATACACAGTTACACTTACTATACAAGTTTCAATAGACAAATAAGTATTAACAACATGGGTAACTACCATGGACATAAAGGCCTATTTCCATAAAACCCTGTTATCTGGTGGTTTCAGCAGTATAAAGGAAAAACACATACGAACTGCATCATAAATGAATCACTGAAGTATTTGGTTAAGTGACAGAAGCCAGTCTACTTTGATGATACTCTGCAAGAAGCTAAACTATAGGGACAGAAATCTGGCCAATGGTTGCTAGTAGTTAAACGTGGCAGATAAAGGGTACAAGGGATCGATCGATCTGTCTGTCTGTCTGTCTATCTGAGACAAGGTCTTGCATGTAGTTCACACTGGCCTTGAACTCACTGTGTAGCCCAGGCTGGCCTCAAACTCAAGTGACCCTCTTGCCTCAGCTTCCCATGTGCTGGGATCACAGGCATGCACCAGCATGCCCAGCCAGGGAACTTTCAGTGATAGACACATTCTACTTCCAGATTTACATAACTGTATGCATTTTGTCAAGACTCAACAAACTGTGTAAGTTACTTAGAGTGAAAAGTATCTCCACTGACCCCCAACTTAAAATAAAAACCAGCCGGGTACAGTGTGACATGTACCTGTACAGCCAGCTTCTCAAGAGGCAAGACACGAGGATGGCTTGAACCCAGAAGTCAAGGCAACCTGGTAACAGTGAGACCACGTTCCTCCTCCCAAATAAACAGACAAAAAACCCGAAGCACTAAGCTACAACGAAACAGCAAGCGTCTGCTGTCTGTCTGCTCGCACAGACGCTTCCTCACCGACTTCTTCCCGAGAACACGGTCACTAAAGCGCAGTCCGTGCTGGGGATGGAGACCCGAGGCACAGCACCAAACTGAAAACAAAACCGAAAGACAGAGAGAGGCAGGAGAGCAAAGGGAGGAGAAGGACAGAGCACCCAAGTAACTGTCAGCCTCTGGAGGGCTGGTAAGATGCTCTCGCCAGAAAATACGCAAAATGAGGCTTTTTAGTCAGAGGCCTTCAGGCCTCTTCAAGTCGAGGCGGCGTCTGACAGGAAGGGCTGGGCTGCTGTAACACACCGTCCCCAGGCAGTGACCACCGCTGTGCTACCCGAGGTGACAGCCTGCCCCAGCGGTCCTTACCACAGTACCTCTCCCGTCACCTCTCGGCGGCTCCCTGTCCACAGGGGCCGGCTCAACCTGTCTCTTCAGTGTCTCCTAAAGCCAGTCAGCAATCTTGGCCCCTTCATATTAATTTACTCAGTGAACATTTTAGGAGCACAGAAAAGAACAAAATAACCCCTGAATGGAGCTCAGACACTTTCTAATATTTAAGAGACCACCAGCCAACACACAACAATCACAATTAATAATTATCATTAATATCACTTAACACAATGGAAATGTTCTAAAGCATTATGATAAAAACCAATTTTTAAAGACTATTCAAATAACCTTCAAATTTGGACACTTCAAAACAGATGACCATATTAAAACAAAAGATAATAATGCACCACGAATTTTCCAGAAAAGGACACAGAAACAAGAAAACTACAAAATATATGTAATTCAAAGCCAATTTTAAAATAATGGGTCCAATTCTGACTTTCTTATTTAGAATACATCACTAACAAAACCTTTTAAGGAGGCAACCGGCTTCTTATATTGCACTTTGAAACAAAACAAGTGGGCTGGGCCAACCCTTTCCTGTAAGCCAGTGGCAGCCATGCATGGCAGGAAGAGAATCAGGAAGCTGACCCCTTCCTGTGAGTCAGTGGTGGTGGGCCGGGTCAAGTGCTGACCCCACAGCCCCCCAAGCAACCAGCTGATTCAGAGAAACAGGCTGAGATAACAGCCACTGAAATAAAAGAACAACTTAATGTCAGTACTGTTTGATTGACTTTGTAGGCCTACAGGTGGTAGTCTGTGCATCTATTTATAGGATGACAATATACAACACCAACTATGGGGATTTCCTTCTAAAGGTGGTAGGTAGCTATTGTTAATTTCCCATTATCTTGTTTTAAAGTCCTGTATCATTTTCTTTTGTTTGGCTTTATTCTGTTTTGTTTTGTTTGATTTTATTATATCTGGTGGCATGGGCAGCTATTTCAAAGGTAAGATATATTATGGTAGTCATTGTTGATTTCCTAGTAGCATGTTTTGAAGTCCTGCATAACTTTCATTGTTTTGTTTTGATTGGTTTTATTCTCTGTCTAGTTTTTTTTTATGTCTCATGATATGGGCAGCTATTTTGAAGATAATGAGAGGCAATATAGTAGACACTGTTCATCTTCTGTTACCTTGTTTTGAAGTCCTATATCACTTTCACAGTTTTGTTTTGACTGGCTTTATTTTGTTTTATTTTGTTTGGTTTTATTGTCTTCAAAATAAAAATAAAAATGAATTTTAAAACAAAACAAAATCCTTCCAATCTTAGTATAATTTGTAAATCTTATAGAAAGACAGAATAACCTAAGTTTTGGAAATGATATTTAATATTGCCCTAAAAAGTTAGTAATTCTTGGGCCAGGGATGTAGCTCAGTGGCACAGCACCTGCCTGGCAAGCCAAAGGTCCTGAGTTTTATACTGTACCAAAAAAAGTTAGCAATTCTTTATACTGCCTGATGAGATTAGAAATGCACTAAAATTCCCTTTTCCTAAGTCATCATTAAATTGAGAATATGGTATTTGTATAAAGATTTTGTTACTCTAGTATTACCTATAAGCACTGTCGACCATGTTCTTATGATAAATCAAGGAGGAAAAAATTCATTTACAGAATATCCAGTATATACTAGGTCTGATACAGTAAGTACTATCATCACTGTTTCTACATATAGATATACATATATACATACTTGTATACATACATAAACTAGAAGTAGCACAGCCATATCTGAATTCTGAATGTACGTAACTCGAACATGCCATATTTAAATGCTATAGAAACCAAATACTAGAAATTGCCTACGTTCGTATATTTTAGTTTAAGATGATAGTCATAGGATGTATCTTGACCTAGTGTCAATTTAAGTCTAAAACACAACTAGAAACCAAGTGTGGCACTCGTTTTATACTTCCAGCCCTTTGGGAAGCTGAGGATCACAAATCTGAGACCAGCCTGCGCTGGGCTTCTCACACAAAAGAAGCCATGGAATGTTTAAATCTGTGCGTCTGATTTATTTCATTTAACATTATGGTCTCGAGGTGACGTATTTGCAGACAAATGTCTCAAGTTTATCTTTCTTTATGGCAGAAGAGCACTGCATTGGGTATGAATACCACTTCTCTTTAACCATTCACCTGAGGATGGGCATACAGGGTGCTTCCGAGACTTGGCTGTTACTAAGTGTGGTGCTATAAACATGGGTCTGCATACATCCCTGTAATAATGATGACTGTAATTCTTTTGGGAAAATACCTGGAAGGGAATCGCTGGGTCAAAGTGGAATTTCTAGTTTTAGTTGTTTGAGGAATCTCCATGCTGATCTCCAGAGTGGCTGCACTAGTTGACACTCACAACAATGTAGAAGGGCTCTTTCCCCCTTGGGAACCTTGCCAGTATTGGCTATTATTTGATTTCTTGATGGACATTCTTTCTGGAGTAAGATGAAATTTCAGTGTTGTTTTAATTTGCATTTCTCAACAGCCAGCAGTGTTGAGTGTTTGTTACATATTTACTGGCCATCTGCACTTCTGTTGAGAATATCTACTCATTCCACTTGCCCATTTTTTGGCTGGGTCATTTTTGGGGGGCGGCAGTTGAGACAGGGTCTTGCTCTGCAGTTCAAGCTGGCCTTGAACTCACTGTGTAGCCCAGGTTGGTCTCGAACTCACAGAAATCCTGCTTTGGCCTCCCAAGTGCTGGGATTACAGGTGTGCCATGTCCAGCTTTGACTAGGTCTTTTAATTTGGAAGGTCAAAATAAAATTTTAAAAGAGCTGCCCTGGGGATGTAGCTTAGTGGTAGAGCACTTGCCTAGCACCGCAGCACATGCAAGGCCCTGCGCTCCATCCCCAACACCAAAACCAAAATAAAAAAACAGGAACCTAAATGTTAAATTGGATTTATATTAGACATAAATTATTTTTAGCCTTCATTTGTTTATAAACTAACTCGTAAGGTACTACAGTCTGCTATAATTTCTTTATTAGCTAAAAAACCTCTATTTTTGTTACTGTATAGTACTTCCAAATTTTCATTTAACATTATGGACAATTATTCATTTAATAAGCATTCTTTTACTGGTTTTTTTTTTCCTTTTGGTACTGGGGATCAAGCTCAGACCATACGTTTGCAAGAGTTTATGCCACTGAGCTAATTCCAGGCTCCACATTCTTTTCCTATTGAACACTGTTCCCAATGTTATTCTTCTATATATAATGCAATGGGCTATAAGGTAAATAAATACATGTTCATGAAGTGAAAGAAACAGCATGAACAAATACTGACTGCATACTGCGGTCAGTTCACTCTGTGTATAAACCAAACATTTTGGTTAAAGGTTACAACTAAGCTTGTGTTTAGCGTAAACTCTTTTATGAGACATGGAACTTGGGTAAGAATATATTACTACTGAAACCAGTAACCTGATTGCAAACATATGAATTATTTGTTTCAAAAAATTGCCTGTTGCATCAATCTGTATAATGCCATACCATGCCCAAAAATAGAAGCAATGCTCACATTAATCCTTGTTAAAAGAATTTTTTAAAATATTTTTTAAACTGGGTGTGGTGGCGCACATCTGTAATCTCAGCTCTCATGAGGCTGAGGCAGGTGGATGGTTGCAGATTAGAGACTAGCTACAACGTGGGCTACAAAGTGAGCTCAAGGCCAGCCTGAACTGCATAGTGAGTCTCCAAAAAAAGTGTGTGTGTGTGTGCACATTTTGAACTGTGGATGACAAAATTCAAAATAACAGTGGCTGATGGAAGACTTTCCTTACATTAATCCTTAAAAACAGTTCTGATAAGGCAAAAAACAAAAACATGACATCAAATCTTACACACAGAACTTAAAAAACTTTTCGTGTAAGTAACTTTTTATTAGAACTTCCTAAATTCCTAGGCTTAAATCGTTGAATATACAACATGCATTTTCTTTTCTAACTATGTGCTGATTTGGTTCAATGAGTGGAAACAAGTTAGAAGATGCAAATGATCAAATACTACACTACACGGAAACATCACAACTGCTTTGTAAGGTGGCAGAATGGTTATTCCTTGATACTGTTTTCAACTTACGTGTTAAAAAAAGTACTGACCTTGTTCTTTACAACCTTATATTTACCTATAATTAGCTAATAAAACTCATCACAAAATTAAGAAATCATCATCTAGATTTCTTGGTCTAGTGGTTTATATTTTCTCAATTATAAACAGCGTAGACCATAACTTAGTAACTATCAAGGGTAGTTAATTTGGTTTTGGGCAAGGGATTAAAACCAGAATTGGAACAAGTGCTTTGAAAACTTTTCATTATTGAAATTATCTAAACATTTTCTCTTAAAAATTTTCATATCACAAAATACATGTGTAAGCATACATAATTTTTTACCAATGGAAAACAATTTTGCGTGTATATTTTACTAGATCTTTACTGGCTTCATTTCTTTGCAAACATCCTCTGGTGGGAAACCCTTTCATCTGATAAGATTCCACTTTTTCTCCTCCAGTTTTATGCATAAAACACAACGTATCTTTAGCTTATTCTTAACAATGGATTGGCAAACACACATTCTAAATAATACTGCAGAGCATGTTTACACAAAGACATGGGGTCTGTGCTATATTAATTTAACAGAGGACAGACACATGTAGTGATCTAACCTTGACAGTATTTCAAGAGGAATACCTTAAATCTGCATTTATAAGGTTAAGGAAAATCATTTACACAAATATTTTAAACCTCTACCAAAAAACTTCCATATCTTCTGTACCCTGCCACAAGCACCAGTTGCTTACCATTCATAGCTGTAGGAAACTGAGCCATCATGGTCCTGAATTTTGCTTGCTAGCTGTCAGCCATCTGCAACACAAAAACACAGCATCATTAATAATACAGCAAGGGCAGACCACACTTAGTGCACTCGCTAAGCAGCAGGAATGCTTGCCCGCTTTGGTTCACACCTCAGACACAAAACACAGAGCTGCCTGCTGCAGGTAACAGGCAGAATGTGTATTTGGGGAACAGTGGGGTGTTCCGTAGGGTAATGGTCCAATACATAATCATGTGCAAGGAACTATGTAAACACATGGTTAAATACATAATCATGGGGGAAAATTCATATATTTAACAACAAATACTACATAAAGAAACCTTAAGCATAAACCAACACTGTTGGAGAAACTAGGAAAGAAAAAGGGCTGTTACAACTAGGTAAGAATTTATCTCAGAGAGATCAACTGTACACATTGCATATATAAGAATAACAGAAATTCTAGTATTTTTCTTTTTAAACACCCCTACATAAGAGAAATATCCAAAATAAATATAGCATAGTTGTTTAAGTGAGTTGTATAGGTTTTCAAAATGGTCTAAGAATGGATGGGAACATACAGCTCAGTGGTACAACACTCATCTAGCATGCTACAGATCTTGGGTTTGATCCCCAGAACCACAAAAAAGTAATTATTAAAATAAATACATATTTTTAAACATAGCTAAACGTTCTAGGCAGGTGTTCTGCATTAGTAAAAGGACTTTTGGAAATTCACAGGTCTGGGTTCAAATTCGCTCTGCTAGATTCCTAGCTGTGACCATGGAAAAGTTATTTAGTCTTTTCAGATCTCAGATTCCTTATCTGTAAAAAATATTCTGCAGAATATTTTTAAAAAGTATTAAACAAGCCAGCTATGTGGGTAAACGCCTGTAATCCTAACACTCTAGGAAGCTAGGCAGAGGATTAGAAATCAAATACCATCCTAGGCAATTTATTAAGATGCTGTCTCAAAACTTAAAAGGGTGAGGGACTAGGGATGTATATTAATACAAAGGCTCTGAGCTCAATCCCTAGTACCACCACCAAAACAGACAAAAAGTATTAAACACAATCACATATATTGCCTAACACGAATGGCTGCTATTTTGCAAAAATCCAGGAAGAGAGCAGATCCCTTAATTCTGAATCCTGAATTCATTATTTAACTGTAAATAAACTCAAAATTCAAAACGTGCTCCATGAATTGTGAAGGGAGGGCCAGCCAGAGAGCGAAGACCTAGCAAATTTATGTAATGTATTTGGTAATTAAAACTATGGGTCCTAATATTGCAGGAAAGCATTACTGTATTCCAAGACTATTCAATATCCCATTTATTCATCCAAATTTTTTGAACATTAGTATTTTAGAAGTCTAACAAAAATATTTGCATCGGGCATTTTAAACATAGCCAGTAGAAACTGGTACACATCCCAGTAGAAGTCATCACTAACTGGCTGACTGGCTGTCAGCAGTTACACAGTACCACTCTCCCAGGGAAGCCAGTACACTGACTAGTCCTCAGCTTTAATGAGCAGAAATATTTCATATTTACTTAGTGACATTAACAAAAAAACTGGCACGCAAATCTTATTTATTTACAGAGAACTGACAGAACAGTTTCTTCCTACAAAACAACCCACTTCAAGTATTGTATTTTAAGCAGGTCATCGTGTGGTATCAAAAGGAATTAACTGTGATTAGAAAGCTTAATGACGTCAGGCACTGACAATCTGATCCATCCTTCTAGATGAGCCAGGAACGGGCATTGGGGCTAGGTAAACCTCCACTAAGGCTTGAAATGGCACTGCTGATTTGACTCTGTGGAAAGCCACACAACAATTACTCAAGAGATTCTGATGCTCTAAGGGAGAGCAATGCCCTTTGGATCTCCTGGCTTGAACTTCAGTTACCTTCACCCTACTCAAAACCCAATAAAAGTTTATAAATATGTAGCACGTGTCAAAAAAACGTAGAGTTACATGTCACACATGTAATTTAGATCAGGTAAATTCTGGGACAAGTATGCTTGTGGAACACCCCTGAAGTAACTCACCACCTACTAATCAGTCCTGCTAACCACACCTGAAGATTCATGCGACACAGCTGGGCGGAGGCACATACCCTTTAAAATCCAGAAGTCTGAGTTATCCTGGAACTGCTGCTGTGTGCCGTGTGTGGGGTGTTTGCTATCCTGGCACCCCAACACCACTTCTTTGTTTATGCCGCATCTTTTGCTGGCATGGACTTGCCCTGAGCACAACTTCCCATGATTTTCAATACATACAGCTGCCTGTATGTATTTTCACTTGCCTTTTTGACTGTGTACTTGGCAATTCTTTGCTTGTTATATACAAGAGCCTGGGTCATAGCTGCCTATGACGTGGTGATAAGCAGAACACTGTGACTGTGGCTATGAGAGATTATGGAATAAAAGCAATCAAAGAGCCAACTCTCTGAAACAGTTTGTGAGACTGAGTAAATTGTAGTATCACTGAGACAGCTGGAGTCTTCCCAAAAGGGGACAGAATAATCAAATGCTAGGGAAAGGCCCCACAGGGATTGTGCCTGTGTTTTGCACCTTACAGCAGGACCAGACAAACACATGAAAGAGGATACAGAGCTCACACACAGTGCTAGAGTTAAAAAAACAGAAACAGCTACTAATGTAGCCCACTAGCACAGATACAAGCAAGGGTCAACCTCCTGAAAATCTACCCTAACCTATCAAAGTTCATCAATGAGCTGCCTGCGACTAAGTTCAGAAATCGACTAGTCAGGACAGAACACTCTTTTCAAGTGTTTCTGTGGAGGTGGTTTTGGTGGAGGTTGGAGATTGAACCCAGGACCTCACGAACGCTACGCAAGTGGTCTGTCTGCCACTGAGCTCATCCCCAGCCCTTTTTATTTTTTTCATTTTGAGATGGAGGTCTCAGTAATTTGCTCGAATGGCCTTAAACTTACAATCTTTCTACTTCAGGCTCCCAAGTAGCTGGAACTACAGACATTGCACCACCGTGCCTGCTTCTTTGCAAGACCCTTTCTGTAAGTCTGACTCTTACTTGTATGGGAAATGTGATAGGAACTTTTAGTGCGGATTTTTCCTTTGTTTAGGGAGCTGCTGGCTTGACTTGCTGTTTTTCAAAGCTGCGAATCCCTTTTGGCTCTAGCAGTAGTCCCAATAAAAGCCGTGGCTGTGCCTGTACTTCTGAGTCTAGGCTTGCTTCTATCCTTTCTGGACCCAGGAACTTAGCTCCAGTAACATCATCAGTTTAAAAAGTTAACAAAAAAGGAAGTCACATAAACCAAGTCACAAGTATCACTTTTTACTTCCTCAATTTTAAATTACCATAAGTAATATAAAACCAAAATAGAACATATGCTTGTAAAGCAACTTTTTTTTGCAAAGTATTTTCTTACAGACATGCAGTAGCAGGCATCTATATTTTATTTAGTTCACGTGACTCAGTGGCAATTGTAAAACCAGAGAAAACACACCAAAAGCATTACATAGAACTTTCATAACTCTGCACAGAGAAAGCACATTACCAAAGATGGCTCAGACAGCAGAAAGACAAGGAACAGGATCCCAGGATAAAACCTTTCTGAGTTAGATCAAGTTCTAAACCTACAAATCATTTGTCTGTGGCTGGTCACCATGTATGCTGCGAGCACACAGAACACGGTGTAAATGCTCAACAACTGCAGGCATCTCCCTGAAATAAAATGATGGAAAAAGCCAAATAATTTAACAGACAGGGAAGGCAAATCCTTTGGGTTAAGATGCAGGTACTGGTATTACAGAATTTTCTTTACTTTGTAAATGATATTTAGCATGCAGATACCACATGGTTAACATTTACATATGTATATAATGTGGCTGGCTGTGATAACCTCTAAATACGGGAGCACAACTTGTGTGAATGAGTAACCTTCAAAGCCTACAATTACGTATCTCTTATATTTACACTAATTCTTTCTATTGTGAATGCTTGTAATTACCTAATATTTAATATTCTATCAGTCTACTTGCAGATCTCAAGAGAAATACTTGTGATTGAAATTTTGAATATAAGACTTTGTTTTACATTTTTAGAAAATCACATTTTACTCTACATAATCTTAATAGTCAACATTTACTGAGTGTTGCCGATTAGTTCAATATGCTTCTATTGATCATTTACTATGTGTCCTGTTCAATATTCCTTGAGAAACAAGTTCTGTACATATCCAGGTGCTGAAGCTGCTGGATTCCTGGGGAACACGCATTCCCCTCACAAGATCCCGGCAAGGCAGATGACAATGTATACTCATGTCACAGACGCAAAAGTTGAAAGGCTACTTGCCCCAATTCAGTACATGATGAAACCAGGAAGATATTCCAAATCTGCCTAATAAGACACTAATAGTTAAGAGTAGCTCACAGAATCCTGTAAGCAGCAGGTCACCTGAAGGCGGGGAAATTCACAGGGGAAACGAGAAACAAGCCAGGGCTGGCTCTCAACACCCCGGACCACACACAATTCAGGGAGCGCTGCTGCCTGCCTGTCGCTATAACCCTCTGAAAGGAAGTGAAAGGAAGCTAGCCCCTCCTCAGGGAGCGCCTGGTGGGTCTCCAGCAAACGTCCTTTCCTACTCTGTAGATGGGTGACATGCAGTGATGGGCAGTTTTGGCAGTTTGCAGTTATGTCGTAAGCTGTGTTAGTTCCTGATGGCTTAGAATATTCACATAGACTGTACTGCTCAATAGAAATTAATGGGAGACTGATATTGTTGCCTTTTTAGAAATAAAGAAAAAACATTTGGTAGATAATAGGTATAAGGCAAAGAAGAGTGCTTTGGTTTAACAGAATCCAAATGGAACTTGGGCAAATACCAAATATAATCTGGAAAACATATTTATAGGAAGAAACAGAAAAGTACAAACGCTAGAACTGAAGCAGGAAGCTTTTCTATAAAAAGTTAAATCCCTAGCTGGGCGTGGTGGTGCACGTCTGTAATTCAGCACTTAGGACATGGCCAGTCTGAACCAGCCCGGGCTACAAAGTG